CGAAATATTCCGCGACGTTCGTCGATTTCGGCCGAGCAGTCGAGGAGGCTCCTGAAGAGGACACGCCGCGCCGAAAAAAAGTTCAGAGTTGCGAATCGATAATTCCAAGAGCAAATATCACGTCCAGGAATAACGTCGAGCGGACTAGAGAGATGAAGAAGCAATTTCGCGCGGTCGTATTAAGATGGAGGATGAGGCGTGTACGAGGAATGTACGGTGATAAGTCAGGCGCGCAGATTCTTGGACCTACTGTACTCGGGTTCGAAGGAGCCTGATAAATCCCTTATCAGGCTGAGCGTGGAGAACGGAGGACGGCGGATGGAGAATGGAGTTCAACGAATCGTCAAATTTCAACCTCGGCTCGAGCGATTGCTCGAGCTCCGATGTCCAATCCGCAATTTTCGGATCTCCAATACCCGAGCATCGATCACACGTATCTCTTCCTCTGGCGTGAGGAGCGGAAAGTTCCGTTGATAAATTCAATATTGGTCGATGATACTTTAGAGTTTTCACGAGCTCACGTTAGGCGAGAAGACACACGATACCTTTGGTCTGTTACGGCTTGGCTTGACGCGAGACCGAACAGGAACTATGCGGACATATGTACGTATGTACGTACGTACTCACGCACGGTGTGCTTGAAAGCGTCGAAAAGGAAGGCTGCCTTGCGAGCCGGCCGATCTCTCGCAGTTGTGCGAACGTCGACGAATGCAGAGGCGAGCGATCGTAAATCGCCCTGTAGGTTCGCGGCGCGCACGTGTGTACAGAGGCCGGCCCGATATTTTCGTTGTTATCCATTAGCGGAAAAGGCATGTGCGAAGTAGGTAATGGACGGCCATGTACGGACGCAGCCACGGCCGGCGAGCGCGGCCCGGACTTTTCAGCTCTGTTCCTTTTTGTCTCGCTGCCGCCGCTGCGTTACAATGTTCCCGACGCGTGAACCGTCTCGCTTTTTTTCTCGACAGCATTTTCTCGACGTGCGTGCGTGCGTGCGTGCGTGCGTGCGTGAGTGCTTTTCGGCTTAGAGGGATTTTCCCGTCGGATCGGCGAGCGAACGCGAGCGCGATTGAGCGGAGGGACGAGCGAGGGAACGAGAGAAAAAGAGAGCGCGCGGAGTCGTTAAATGGCGACGATTAAAAAAGAATCGGCCGAAGGTAGACATCGCGTCTCCATATAGGGCGCTAACCGAAGCCGCTGGAAGGTCTTTTAGATCCTAACCTGGACCACTCCGAGCTCTCTCACGAGGTGTGACCTTAACCCCGCGATGAATTTGGGAGAGTCGAAGGCTCAATCGCCGCGTTGCCGTCGGCGGCGTGGCGAAGGCGAGAGTGCCTTCTCGCGCGATATCACGGTGCGACCTGTCGCGCTCTCTTCGAGTTGTCGCATGGCCATAACACGCTGGCCATGCGAGTATTAATCTAGAAACATACAAAGTCGCAAAATCATCGTTGCGTCGTCGTCTTTCCGTGATCAATCGCGCTCTAGCGCCAAGAGGTCTGTTCACTCCCTGTCCTACTTACAACGAAAGTAAAAGACGTCAGTGCGATAATACTACTTGTGGAACAAACTGAAGTCCTCTAACGAAACTTCCTCATCTGGAGGAAATCCCTCTGGAGAAAGTTCTTCGATCAAATCTCCCCTCGACAAAAATTCGAGTTTTCAGAGTTTCGCGAATAAAGTATCCTTCCTGGAGCGCAGAAATTCCGAACTTGAGAAGTTTCATAGAGTTTACTGGAATTTCTTCGGAGGTGAACACTTCACCGATGCGATACCCGATACTCAATCCCCGAGATGACAATCGCAGGAGGAGATTTACGCGACGCGGACGATTGAGGCAGATCTGTCGCGTAAGCAGCTGATGCACTGGCTGTTGCGCTATGCAACAGGTCGTCCCACGTGCTCGGGCTCGACGTTGAAGGGGAGAGATGCCACGGGAAGAGACGCGCGCGAGAGGCTTTGATAGAGACGGTGCTTCGTCTTTTCGCGATTCACAAGTCGCGAAGTCGGCGCTCCGACGAAATTTGCAATTCGGCCGAATTATGCCCGCACGACATTCTCGTTCATTGAAAGTACCATCACGTTCCTTTCCTTGGCGCGCGTGAAAGCTAGCAGGCTTCGTGGTTGTACACCCGACGATCGTCCTTGCCCGAAGCGAAATGAAATGCGCGATCTCGACTGGGAATACTAGATCGTTACATTTTTCATTGTGCGCGTGATGTAAAGTAAGAGAGGGGGAGGGGAGAGAGAGAGAGAGAGAGAGAGCCAGCCTGTCGCTGGGATCTGTATAAAGATCGACGCGTCCCTCCGTTAGTTAAGTCCTTCGGACGCGTGGAGCTGGACCTGCATATTAATCTCGGTGACCGAAAGCATTTTAATGTGCAGGATCGGATTAATTATGACGTTAGGAAATTTTCTGATTACGATCGCCGAGCATAACTAGCGGTGCAAAACTTCGCTCAAATCTAATCCTTTCTACCATCTCTCCTTAATTCCCACCTTAAATTTAAAGATAAAAACTTTAGAAATTTTGATCTTTACAATTAAAACGGAGATCTTGGGATTAAAATTCTTAAGATTCAGTTAAAAAATTAAAATTCGCAATTAATTATAACCTTAAGTTTAGTCCTTCATTTTATCCTGAATTAAATCTGCAATTAGACGTCGCATAAGCCTCGACACTAATTTACTTACATCTTTATTTACTTCTCATTTACTTATCGAAGGTTTCTCCTTCGAGCTTTGCACACAAGCGTAAGAGATTGAAAATCGCACGAATAACTCTAGTTACAATATTGAGGTATACGCGACGCCTGCTTTACACGAAACGTCATGCGAAACCCGAGGCGTTACTCCCATTCTGCATCAGCGCGGTTTGATCAACGCGATAAACTTGTCGCAACGAGGCCATGCCTTCTACCTAACGATACAATAGATCAAAGAATGGTCTGCCCTTTGCTTTCATTCGTATCTATGACACATCTTTGGCAACAAAAACCATTCGGTCACGCGTCTATTGAGACATGCGATCGCACTTTTCGCACGATTACCTCTCGTTTCGTCAATCACACACGTTTCTGCCGACCGATCGATCGACCGACGGTTCGACCTGGAGAGGGGGGGAGCGGGTTATCGATCGCGACCGCGTGTGAATCACGCTCGCCGCTGAGTAAGATATCCTCCCGAGGGAAAAATCGCCGCGGGTGAAAAAATTCGCGCGATCCCATAATGATATGGCATTAGACGTTGGGCCGAGCAATTGACGAGCGCTGACATGCAAATGGCTGTAATCGGCACGCAATGATACGTGCGGGAAAGATCATCGTTCGTTATTACAGGAATCGGATTTATTACAGGAATCGGGCCGATCGTTTTTGCCGTATCGGTCGCTTCGCCGTCGCCTCGGAAGCGTAACGTCATCACCGTTGATGCGTGCAAGCTTTCTCGCGCGCGTTCTTCTGGCTCTTCCGTGTGTTACACACAATACAATATGTGGCACGCACGTGCACAGAGAGCGGGACGAAAGAACCAGAGGCAACGTGGGCTCGCGGCGTAATTAAACTGATATTTTCGCCGGTATTTTTCCTCCGCGCTTCTGCGCGCAACCGAGAGCACGATTATCGCGCTGCGCGCTCGCCGCTTCTAAATGCCACGTTTGTTTATCGAGTGCTTCGCAGACAGGGCCGGTATTAATGCTCTCGCGGGACTCCAAGTTCAACTGTGCGTCTCGTCTCGAGCACCGCTCGACCGGAGACAGCCGGACTGTCGAAGATAGTGTACGCGGTGCGATTACTTGATTGCGAGCGAAAGATTCTACACTTGTAAATAAATTAAGTAATTGACGTGCATCGTCCGCGACACAGCGGCCCAAATCAAGTGTCAATGAGACGGCAAGTGATAGAAAAGAGAGCGGAAGAGATAAGTAAATGAGACGACAAATGTGATGAACAACGCGTGAGATTGCCTCACCGAACTAAATTTGGAGCATCGCGGGGCACCTCCGCCGGATAAGACGACGGTCATCTTATTACGTATCATCGAGTCGTCCGCGGGCTCGAAACACTCGAATCGGCCGCGATCGGTTTGAGGCCGGCCCTGGCCGCTGATTAAAGCAAGTACACTGCGGCACTAATCGCTTATCGCTCGGAGCAAAGGGAAACCGCACCTGTGCGAGCGCGACAGGTACTTAACGATCGTTCCTGCGAGCGGGTGTCCTCGCGCAGAGCGGACAAACACGCGAGGGTCGGCCGAAGCGCGAGCGCGGGCGAGAGAGATCATCGCTCGTGCAGGTTGAAAAGCATCGAAGTCTCCGCGCGCCGCGAGACGGGGGAGCCGCGCGGGAGAATCGCTCAGGTGGTCTGGCTTTTCGCGGTACCGCGAACCGTTCTCCACGATCTATCAGTGTGTCCGCGATGTGTTTCTCTCTAATTTGTTTAACATTCCGGGAGTGTACCCCGAGTGAGATGAGAAGACGAGACGCGGCCGCGCGCGTTCAGCCTTGAGCGGAGAACGCGCGGTGAGAATACGAGCGATCATTGCAGCGTGCGTTTAGCGTTTACAAATATGAACGTTCGGCGCGCAGCTTTACTCGCTCTTACGAAACGATATATTCGTTACGCGAGTGTGTTCGAGAGAGACTCTAGACATCGTAAAATAATATTAACATTATCTCATGAGGCCATATAGGCCACCGTTACGGCAGGCAATTAAATAATGTGGGAGAACCTGTTAACGTCACTGATGTCGTTAAGCGTGAAATGGAGATGACTCGTATTTAAGGTTCGTGCATTTCTAATATAATTTTTATCGCACGTAATTTTCCCGCGCTCGGAGAGCGATCGGTTGAGCAGTTGTTGATTAATCTTCTAAACTTCTCTTTTCGGTGTTTCTCTCAAATCTCTCGTAGCCCACGGTGGCTGAAAAACGGGGATCAAAACCGTAACGCGCCGTCGCACGAAGGTGCGAAAAGCGAATGTCAAAGCGATCATAGAGGGGCCCCTCACCTGCTTCACGTCCTCTCATCGGAGCAACGCGACGACGACGACTCTCGGGCCGACGGCAACGGCGTACGGCCCGACTGGCATCCTCGATCGTGGAGCGGCACGCGCGCACGCACTTTTTTCGCCAAGCAGCGGTTCGCGGTAACTGCGTTTCAGGAGCCCGCGACGACGCGACGTCCGTCGCGATCGCGCGCGCGATTCGTCTGCGCGCGTGCGCGATAGATCCCCTTCCGTCGGCCACTTGATCGGCGCGTGTCCCCTCCGCGATCGCAACCCCCACGCGTTCCGCGCGATCGACGTGCTTCCTCTCGCCCCGCGGTGCGAACCTTCTCTCTCCGCGCGAACGTCGTCGTCGTCGTCGTCGTCAGGGTTTTCGATCGAGAAAGACGACAACGACGTTCCTCTCGGCTCGGTTCATCGGTATGCACGCGCACGTTCGAATCGGTATGCATCGTGCGCGCGCGCGCGTGTGCCCAACTTGGGAGAAATTCGGCGAAACCGAAGTTATTGACCACCGAGCGACGTCATACCGACGATTAACGACAGATTCGTTAATCACAATTCCTCAGTCCTTACGTCTGTTCAACACGTTGACTGCCACAATGATCTCCATTGACCGTCTCTCAAAGCTCAATTAAAGTTACAGTAAATCAATATAATTCATGATGCGTACATGATCTGTAAACTCTCGCTTCAACACGTCGTTATTGGTCATACATTGAATTCGTCGTGTCTTCTACGTGAATCGATGAGATCCGGCAGTATCGTGATGCTGATCACCGGTGACTCTCATGGTGGCAGTCAACGTGTTAACGATAACTCTTTATTTCCCATATCTGCATCCCCTCCTTGAGAAACGCAAGACGGCAGGAGTGAAAGAAAAAAATAAAGAACGGATGCAGGACGGAGATCGAGACGGGAAATAATCTCTCTGCATGTGTATATATAAATAAAGTTGTATTATCGTACCGTACGGAATATACACGGATCACGGATAACCGCTCTGTCGACAGGATTAGTGAATTAAATCAATGCATTTAGCGACTCGAGAGTCTTGATTCGGCTCGAATCTGATTAGAGGTCGATTAGAAACGTTGATGGAAGTTCGACGGTTGCGTCGGCTGGGCAGTCGAGTAAACCATCCCTGGCGGTTGCTGGTGGGTCATCGCGTGGCTCTGATGCTGATGGAACTCCGGCGCGCCGTGCGGTCCGTTCAGTCTCACCCGTTTCGCGTTCTGCCCGTGATTGTGGTCGCCGTTACCTTGCTGCTGCTGGTTTTGCTGTTGCTATTTCACGAATTACTCGGATGAGCGACAAGGGGCGGGGGGTGATGTAAATTTCGGATCAATCCTCAACTACCATATAGCGGTTGGTGTTTACAAAGCGGCAACGTAGGTCAAGAGCGTCGCGCGCCTTGTCACTGCGGCGATCATACAGGGCCGTCAAAAACGATCGTTAAATCGTACTTTTCTTTTCTTTCTTTCTCTTTCTTTTTCAAAAAAAGCACGTAGAAAACGTAAAGCTAAGAGATACATACTTATTTGAATATTACAAACTATTTGTATTGAAGTGAGTATCTTGTTATAGTAGTTGCGGCTTAAACCATATGTATGTGTGTATGCATATAGATAATATATATATAAATATATATATGTATATATGTATATAAAGTACAATATAAATATTTCAACGTGTGTTACTTTAATATATTTCGGAAGTAAATACCGTTTGCTGCTGATTCTGCCTCGCTTTGTTTTCAGTCTTTTCTTCGGTATCGTCGTCCGTGAGAAATTCTCTTTTAGGATAAGGGATAGGGCATCCGGCGAATATGCTGTGAAAGATTTCGCATTTAAACGAATGTGATTCCAAGAGAATGTAAAGATGCAAATTACCGACGTAGCATCATAGATGTCAATACGTACTCCTGAGTTGGCAGTGGCTCTTCTTGGAAGTAGGCATCCTGCATTGAATGTTCCGACGTGATACGTTTGTTTGGATCCATCATCAGTAATTTTTGCAACTGAAACGTCAAGAGAATACGAGAAATCATTATAAGCCCAATGCGCTGTTGAATTGACGATCTTTCTTCTAATTTCCGTACCAGATTAAATGCCTTGCTATCGGGTTTGATCTTATGCCGGTCCATATACTTAGTAAGTGAGCAGTTCGCATAACTAAAAAAACAAAGAGTAGAAAAATCAATATTTAAAGATTTTTAACTAAGGTAGTAGTAGCGAGCATTTTTTTGTACAATGATAAACTTACTTGGATCTCTTAAAGTCTTTCAATAATGTAGGATGCTCCGGCATCTTCTTGATATCCTCCCAATCCTTTTCCAGTGGAAATCCCATCACATTGAATATCCTAAACACAAATTATATGATTGATTCATTTAATATAGTTCATTCAATATCATTTACTAGGAGATCAAATATAGAACTTGTTAGAATCACATGTTGCATCCTTACCTATCTAGCTGATCGTGATGGTATGGATTACTAGTTTTGATGTCTTCTTGTCTGCAATGAAATATAGGTTCGGATGTTAAGAGCTCTGCGAATATGCAGCCGATAGCCCAAATGTCTGCAATTACAAAACAAACATTTAATACATGTTCTGCAAACTGTAAAACACAGATACGACACACGGCACATTACAGACCTATAGCTTTTGTGTAATGTCTGGCACCTAGAAGTAATTCCGGAGCTCTATACCAAAATGTTACTACAACCGGATCTAAATCTGCTAAAGGTTTCAGAGGAGCATTAAATAATCTAGCAAAACCCATGTCAGCGATTTTCACGCGTCCTCGCTCGTTCCCTTCACCCATTACTAAAATATTTGCTGGTTTCTAAAATAAAGATAAATTTCGTTCATTCGCAATCTGGTTATAATATGGTTAAATGGCAATATGGTTAAAATATGCATATAATAGCAACGACAATTACCAAATCTCTATGGAGGACCCAGTTGGAATGTAAATAATGAATACCATCTAAAATTTGATATAATAAGGATTTCACCATGCCTTTTGGTACCATTACTGGCTTCTTATTAGCTTTTGCCGCTCTGTGAAATTTTATTATATGCTGGAAATAACAGTCATAGTTATATATTCACCGTATCGTTTCTAAATATTTCTTCTTGACTTAGAAATTGTTGAAATAATAGTAATATCAAAATTAAACATACCCATAAGTCATGCTCGGCAAAGTCAAACAGCAACCATACTTTACGATCATTATGTGAGAGAAAGACACGAATAAGAGTAATGACATTGACATGCTTTAGTTCCCTGAGTAACTGCAAGAAGAGAAATATAATGAAATTTCTCTGTTGCAAGCTGGTGAATATGATGTTTTATTGTTCAAGAGTAACTCAAAAGAGGTACTCACAGCAATTTCTCGGCATGCAGACATCGAAAGTCCTGTACCTTCGATTTGCTTAAGACCAAAGTCCTTTGTGTCAGGCCGAGACTTTAATTCACTATCTGGTACTCTGTTTACAATATATGTTAATATAGTATAAACTTTCAGAATACTACATTCCTAAATATACAATCAGAATAATACAAATAATATAATTAGAATGTACAGTGCTTGTTTTGGAATTGCACAGAAATTAACATTAATTGAGAATTTAACCAATGCTAGATCCAACAAATGTACACGCAGATTCAGTTTAAAGAAACTTGAACAAAACAATCATAATATTAAGAAACTTAAGTAAAAACGATCGATAAGATCAGAGCAGCTAATACTTCTATGAGGATAGGATGTCGCGATTTCGGGATAAGTTTGCAAATTTCGAAATAGTATGAGTCGATATTTTTGTAGTTTCGAAATAATTACGAGATGAGGCTTGTTCGTGTAAGAGTAAATGACAGAGGAATGAATTTAAGAAATTTCTACACAAAATTGTTGAAAACCAGGTTAGAGAGACTAACCCTTCTTTCCTACGGGCCTTGTATACGTGACCGTAAGTACCTCTTCCGACCTTACATCCCTCAAACTCGAATAGATCCTCCACCTTCGTGCGATCTTTCTGAGTCTTCATCTTAAATTCATAATCCATCATGCTTAAATTTTATCAATACAATTATCAACTATAAACAAACATCTTTAATAACGCGAGAGCACACACACGAACTCTCGGCGTACATTATACGCGCCAGAGGGCTCAAGGGAAGTAGAATTAACAAGAACCGTGCACGCCTTGCCATTATTGTCAGGACGAGCGTAATGTGCGCGCATTTTCTCAGAGGGCGCGTTAGAAAAAGCGTCGCGGCATAACCGGCCCGGTGGCTCTCAGGTTTCTCTATGATAATACCAGCAGAGAGGAAGCTGAGAGCGGCCAACACGGCGTTTTCGGCGACACCGATTTTTCGCACTGGGAATGGGCGCTATCTGCATCCATTTTGAGAGGGGAATTACGATGCTACATCCACTTTTAGGTTTCGACGGTAAAACCTTTCTCCGTTGATATCTCCGCTTCTACTGGGAGTAGAGAGTCGCCATTTACGGCAAAATGTAGGGTTTTGAGAGGACTTTAATTTGGTACCAGAGCCAGGCCTGTATCTCTAACCGTTTAGGAGATATCGAAGGTTAAAGTTTTCCAACCTTTCTCCGTCGATATCCAGCCTTCATCCGTCGATATCTCCGCTTCTATTGGGAGTAGAGGGTCGTCCATGTAGTCCAAAATGTAGGGTTTTGAAAGGGCTTTAATTTGGTACCTGTCCGAAGCCTGTATCTCTAACCGTTTAGGAGATATCGAAGGTTAAAGTTTTCCAACCTTTCTCCGTCGATATCCAGCCTTCATCCGTCGATATCTCCGCTTCTATTGGGAGTAGAGGGTCGTCATTGTAGTCCAAAATGTAGGGTTTTGAAAGGGCTTTAATTTGGTACCTGTCCGAAGCCTGTATCTCTAACCGTTTAGGAGATATCGAAGGTTAAAGTTTTCCAACCTTTCTCCGTCGATATCCTTCATCCGTCGATATCTCCGCTTCTATGGGAGTAGAGGGTCGTCATTGTAGTCCAAAATGTAGGGTTTTGAAAGGGCTTTAATTTGGTACCTGTCCGAAGCCTGTATCTCTAACCGTTTAGGAGATATCGAAGGTTAAAGTTTTCTAACCTTTCTCCGTCGATATCCAGCCTTCATCCGTCGATATCTCCGCTTCTATTGGGAGTAG